CCCTGTCCCTCACGGCATGGATCTCCTGCTGCTCCCCAGGGAGGTGGGCCGCGGACCGAGAGGAAGGCAGCCCCAAGGCCTGTGCGCTTCACAGACAGCCCACCGCGGGCAGCCCTGCGCTTTGATGCGGTGACTGTACAGATTATGAGAAGTGTTTCATCAATCAAAGCTGAAATGGCATCAAGATCGAGCCGTCTGGTTCCCAGCCTCCTCTCCGTCCCTCGCCAGCTCAGTCCTCAAGATGTGAGGAGCGGATGATGACAGACGTAAGCCCCCCAGGTGCTTGACTGTCACCCCCACCGGCGTGCGCTTCGGCGGCCCACCGTCGTCAGCAGACCGCCTTCCTAATAATCCCACAGACGGCCCCCGTGCCGACCCGCCTCCCCATCTTTCTGCTGTCTCTCTGAATGCCTCTGTATTAACAGTCACTCATTCTGCAAAGCTCTGAGGATCTCCTAATGCTGGGCGGGGTGCTAGGGAGGGACGCTGGGCTGGCGTGCCAGGGAGGGAGGCTATGGAAATGAGAGACCACTGGGCCGGTCTTCAGAAGTCGCACCATCCAGCACAGAAAAGATGAGAAAAACGTCCACTGCAATCCAAGGAGGTGTGAACAGGTGCCTTGGGGCTGCAGTGACCCAGGGCCATTCCCGAGACAGCCAGTGTGGCCTCTCCCCAGCCCACCTCCAGGTCAAGCTGAGTCGCCCCCACCCACTCCTCCCTCCTCCATCCAGCATGCTGTTCCCAAAGCAGGGGTCCCATGCTTAGAGCATCCACACCCCCACCTGCCCTCTCACCCCTGGCTCTGGGCTCAGCCCCCTCAGTGACAGGAGGGAGAGGCCACCAGACACAAACCCCTAAACTCCTTACGTCCTGCAAACACCTCTGTCACAGCACACACTTCTCCTGCCCCCCCCGGAACTGTGGGCACCACCCTCTCTGCAGGGCACTGGTGCCATAATGACGTAGTGACACTGCTTGCATTACCCCGGCCAAAAACTAGTCCTTCAAGATCCTGGCTTTCACGGCCTTCCATGGAATCAATTGCAGTGTTTGGTTAAATTGATCTCTTTCAAGAGATTTCTCTTGAATACCTCTCAGAACTGCCCCTTCATCTCCAGATGAATAACACAAGCAATGAAGGTAGGGTCACGTGACTCCCCATTGCCTTTTTTTTAAGTACAGTTGATTTACAGTGTTGTGTTAGTTTCAGGTGTGCAGCAAAGTGATTCAGTTATACATGTACATAGTCTTTTTCAGATTCATTTCCATTATAGGTTATTACAAGCTACTGAATGAAGTTCCCTGTGCTCTGCAGCAGATCCTTGTGGTTTATATACAGTAGTGTGTGTATATTAATCCCCAAATCCTAATTTATCTCCCCCACCCCTTTCCCCTTTGGTAACCATAGTTTGTTTTTTCTGTGAGTCTATTTCCAGTTTGTGAATAAGATCATTTGTATCATTTTCTATTAGATTCCACACGGAAGTGATATCATGTGATATTTGACTGTAGGTCTTCACACAGGAAGGGGCGTGTTACCTGGGCGGGGGGAGCAGGGAGTTCCCCATTTCCCCTACACCCAATAGACTATAATTATATCCTGTGTGAAAAAATTGAATGAGAACTGACAGCATTGCTCATGATGAACTGAGGGGGCAGAGGGTACCTGTCCAGCTTGGGGAACTGAATCCACGTGGGCAGGGGTGGGCAGCTCCTCTCCTGAGGCCTCCTGGTACCAACAGGACCTGCTCTTCCCAGCAGGTACAGGATTGGCCACACACTGGGTGTGCTGACTGCCCGTCTCTGTGGGTGACAGGGCAGCGTGCAGCCGGGGCCACTCACCCTCACATCTTCTTTGTCTCCAAAGTCCCACGAGAGCGGGATGTGGGGAGGTCCTCTGTTGGTAAAGGTGGTAGATGGGACTAATCACCATGCTCCGTTTGCACAGAGAGATTCCACACACATTCATGGATGCGTTTTTGCCAGATGACCAAAGAGCAGTGACAAGTTTGCCATCCTTCGCTCTCTGTGACCCAGACTTTTCCTCCAACTGTTCTAGACTCTAGTTTTCAGACATTTCTCCTGCCCGGAGAACACGAGATCTTTCATATAGAGAGTGAGCATCCTGGTACCTTTTATTCCTTCTTTCTCTCCTCCTGCATCTGCCCCCCTTGCCTCTGAGGTCGAGCCGGGGCTGCTGTACAAACAAGGAGGGGTGATTGGTTCCCCTCAAGTGGGCTGGTGGGTGCTGTAAGGTCCAGTAATATGCCCTGATTTTCCATTCAAGGATACAGCCTGTTTTTTCAAGCATTTGTCTTTCTCTATGGAGTTTTCCTTGAGAACAGTAAGAAGGCAGGCAGCGCTGCTGTTAAACGGTGAGAACAGGTAGATTGTCCAGACAGACGTATGCCATTTCCTTCCTGCCATGTTCTCCTGCTTCTAAAGAACAGCAGGTGTTTTCATTGTTGCGTCTGAGCGCGGTCACAAGGGTCACCCTGCGGTACCACAGATGGTGGCCTCCCAGCCAAAAGCCAATAGTAACCACCGTTCTCACAGCCCACATCCTGCCATTGATTTTCGCAGGGACCTCCCCATTGATCGCACAGGGGCTTTTTCCCCCAGGATCAATGGCAGGATATAGCTCGTGACATGACGTGTAGATAAAAGACCCGGGAGTTAACTGTCAACAGAACGAAAATTTAGATGTAAACTCATTTAACAAAAATTGGCTTTCAAAGGTTCATCAGAAGAGAAAGCCTTTCAAAATGCCTTCCCCGACCTTGCTGTTAACATCAATGCAAATCAGATTTCTTATACCCCAATCACGATTCCTTGGATGTAAAGACACGTCTATGGCTTTTCATGTTTATCAAAATCACATTCTCATTGGTACCTCTAATAGAGATAAAGTTTTTTTTTTAAGAAGTGTGGTTTTTGCCCTCAAACAGTATAGTATCTAACGGGGAAGAAAGATGGGCCCACAGATAACTTAGGACAAAGTGGGAGGAAAAAGGGAGCAGGGAGGGGAGAGAGGGCATCGAGCTCTGGAGTGTTGAGGAAGACGTGTGAATAGCTTGTGTACAGGCTCTCACGTCCTGAAAGTAAAAAATTAAAAACTTAACCACCCAAATTTTCTGATCGTTAGGGATACACACGTGTATTGGTCCTGTTGGTACTACCCAGATTTCAAGCCAAAAAAGGGAAATGACTCACAGGCAGAATGGGCTGTCAGAGGGGTCTCCCTCCCTCCCAAGATTCCCGGGAGGTCCCAGTTGCACCCAATGTCCAGTAGTAATTATGAAGAGCACCCCTTCCACTCTTTGAAGTGACCCTGCCCAGCCAGTGAACTACACTTTGGCAAGGCAGATGTCAAAATCTGTTTTAGTTGCGGGACACCAATGAGTGAGGACAGAATAGTGGGATGTGGAGGACGCTGATGTGCTGGCAAGGTTCAGAGCCGGGGGCCTGGGCGCTGCGTCCCTGGTGATGCTGGTCAGGCGGTGCTGGCGGTGGTCCCCACGCCGCCTGGGACAGCAGAGCGCAGAGCCCTCCTGTGCGCCATGATCTTAGCTTCTTTCCATTCTTGTATCTCCTTTTTTTTTTTCCATTTCCCAACCTCTGTTTTTCCCTCCATCCCAGAGTCACCAGTTGCTGGATGGCTATTCCTTACACCATCTGCTCTGCCAGTCGGAACCTCTTCTGACTGCTGGAAAGTCACCCTTTCAGATCTGCCGGCTGGGCTGTCGACTCGCGCTGACTGAACCACTGTTGTGCGCCGGGCAGTGCTGAGCACCAAGAACCTCCCGGAGGAAGAGTCACCGAGAGCTGCAATGGTCTATGGATGTGGACTTTGACACGGGTTCGCCATGCAGGACAGGCACATAACGGGGTTCCCAGTTTGCTGACAAACGTCCAGTTTCCAGTCCATTGGACGCATCACTCCATCTAATGACAAGTGAAAGCTGAACAGACTGAAAATCAGCGACAGTTCTCAGAGCCAGCAGAGAAGTGAGGTCACAGACAAACCACCGCCCTGCAAACTGGAGACACTGAGAGGCGAACACAGAAAATCACGACTTGCTGGAGCAGAAACCCACAAGCTGCCATCCCGGGGGGACCAGCACTGGGGCCGGCAAACTTTGGTGGACCGCACTTGGATTGAATCGCTGCAGGCTGCGTGTGGACTGGGGAGAGTTAAAACCCCAGGGAGGGGCAGTCACAGGGAGCTCGCACACTTTGGTGGGTTTTGCCCCCGGGAGCTCGGCCGGTTCTCACGGTGCAGAGCAGGGAACTGTCCCCGTGCGCTTCAGCCAGGGAGGGAAAAGGAACCATCGGGGAATATTCCGGATGCTCTGGTCTACGAACAAGGGCTGCCTTCAGGAGAGACCAGCTCACCTGAGCCGCCCCTGCTGGGCTTCCATCAGACCTGGGTGAGCGGGTGTGGGCGGGGGCAGGAGACGGCCAGCTGCAGCCCATCTACGGGCCGGGGCGGAGCCAGCACGCCCGTGTGAAGTTCACGCCCAGAGTCGGAGGCCTCACCCTGGGACCACAGCAGGCTCCCCACGGGCCAGCTCCCAGCCTCACCGGCCCGGCACTCAAGCCTTCCTCACAGTGGTGTCTTCTACCCAGCTCCGCCCGTCCGCAAGCTAGGAAAAAATGACAAACTCGATGGCAGATTTGTGAGTGTCACCATACGCAGTTGCCTTGAAGTTTTCACTGATCCGAACAGCTCCAGTTCGAGCCAGGAACTCTGAAACATGTCCCTAATTAGTGGGGAATTACCTGGGGTGATTCATGTATATTTGAAATTGGCATTCATCTCATTCAGACATGTTTAATGAATAATCATTAAAATTTGATATAAGCAGACAGCACAGACCCATTCCAGCCTTCGTGGAGGATGTGTGTGGGTGAGATGGAGCACAGAGCCGTGCACTCTGGACAGAACACCATCTGACAGGCAGATTGGTAAGATTCTGTCAGCCTCAAGCTTAGAAATATTTTTTTAGTTTTTGGTTGTTTCTTTATTTGTCCCCATGTTCGTACACCCAAGTAATAAATCTCGGATTTTACACAAAATGAGCTGCTTACGCAGACATCCTGGAAGTGAAATCTTAAATTTGAGGAAAAGAGCTATGAACACAGGCAAACTCAGAGTTAATACAGCTCAGACATTTGGCTTCCAGAAACTTCCATCAGCACAGGGAAGTTTATATCGCTCTTGAAGTTATTTTACCAGAAACTGAATTGTATGGTTCTTCCGCCCCGTTAGACCCTCTCACCGCAATTCAGGATGGGCCTGGGTCAACATCCAGATGCAAGTGTGGCATCTGGATTCGGCCTGATTTGTTAACAGCCTGATTCACAAAACCCTCCCCCGAGAGTAACAGAAGATGTGGACCGTGTGGTGCGAAGCTGTAATTAACATGGCTCTGACCCCAGGGTGTGCGGACTGTCCTCTCCTTCCCGGCTGCTCTGGGGGGAGGGGAGGCAGCAGCTGACTGATTGGCCCAGATTCCAGGGCAGTTTGCAAGTTCCATAAAGCACCAATCATGCAAAAGATGAGTTAGCTCTGAAAAGATGTATCCGAAATGATGACTCTCTTCTTCAGGGTTACCCTGCAGGGGAAGGGGCAAGAAAAGATGCCCATTTCCCCCAGTTCCTTCTGTGCCAGATAAAACCATTACGCAAGATTGGAAGCCTGGAGGGTGGGAACTGCTTCCCCACCAGAAAAGCCTTTCCTTTCTCTCCAAGCCACCCCGTTTCCCGCTGGTGTCCTGAGCGGACGGCTGCCTTCCTGCCTCCTGAATGAGACCCTTCGATTTCTCTCTCCTTCTCCCTGGGCAGAAAGGCTGCACCCGGAGGAAGCTGTACCCGCTTGTTTTCAGCCCAGCGGACAGGGGCTCCTAGAACATCAGCTGAGCGGATCCACTGTAGCTAAGCACCTGGATGTTCATTGAGAGGTTTACTGGGGGCATCTGGGGTGGGGAGGGTACTCTTTGTCTTTCCATAGGGTTGTTTATATTCAGTTCAGCTCACTTTTGCACATGCACACGCACACGCACGTGCACACACACCACACACACAGGCACTCACAAGAACTTGGGAAGGTCTCTCTGGAGTCTGCACCCCTGACAGGCTGTCCAGAGCTCCCCTGCGGGCACTGTTCATCACTGTGAGCCACATTCATGCTGCCCAGCATCCTTCCTGCTTTTCTTCGGAGCACCTGGTCAGGCTGCAGTTCCTCGCCCTCCTAGCTGGGTGTGGGCCTGGGATTCGCCCCGGCTGCAAAGGGAAGGGGTGACACACCTTCCATCCAGGGGAAGCTTGAAGACCAGCACGCGACGCCCACTCTCCCTCCTTCCCTCGGCCATGTCGACTGGCAAATTTTTTAGCTGGTGTTGTTCTCTCAGACAGGGTCCTCGGTGGGTCAGGGAAGAAGATGGACAAGTGCAAAGACAGAAAATACACCCAGGTTTTTCACTCCACTGGGATTTAGCAGTCGCCAGGCAGCACAGGGAGCCTGGCCTCCATGGCTGAGCACCCAGCTTCGAAAATCTCCCCGGGCAGCTGAGAGAGTCTCATGTCTACACAGATGCAGTCCCAGAAGCACTTTATCTGTGTCCTTTCTCTGAACAAGACGGATGGCCGCCCGTCCTGCTGGGACCGCGGGGACTCCTGTCGGCCCCCAGCGCTCTCGCCCGCAGGGCTGGGCTGCGCACTTCTGCAAAGAGAAAGAGGTCACTCTAAAAGTCTGTGCCTTTTGTCTCTGAAACCAGCTGTTAGTCTTCTCCCCTTCCCCACCTGAACTTACTCTCTCATAAATTCTAACAAGATAACCGGCCCATCAGACATTAATGAAGACGGAGGGTCGCCTATCCGTTTTGGGAAACACACACTTAGTCATCCGTTCTCTACCTAAGTGCTCATCAGCCCCCACTTCCAGGAATTATTTCTGTCGAGCCCAGCAGTATTCATTCTCCATCCCCCAGTCTTCCCTGGCTCCGCCGTCTCTCGGCCCATAATAAGGCAATTTGAAATACAAACCGACTCGGGGAAGCAGCCTGCCTCAGAGTGCTCATTTTGCTGCCTCGGTCTCTCCCAGGAGCCCCTCCACGGGGGCCGCCCGAGGATTCTCGCCTCCCATCAGCGCCCAAATGATAAAGACAGAATCCACAAGCAGAGCTTTCTGCAAACTTTAGGTTCCTTAGCCTGAAATTCAAACAAATTTCAAGTGATAAAAGCAGAACCCACCCTCTCCCACAGGCCTGAAAGAAAGGAAACTTAAGGGGAAAAATATAGTGACACTGAAATATTCAAACCTGGGATTTACATGATAATGAGGGGATAGATTACATTCTCGCCATTCTACCCGCAAATGATCGCAGAGCCTTACAATGGCTTGTACAGCGAGAGCAAACCATATTTAGAGTAAACCCAGAAGTTCAGAAGATGGGTGGAAAGCTGTTCGCTCATCTCCAGAACAAAGGCAGCAAGAGACGCCGAACACACCCTGGACAACCGGTCCCTCTTTCCAGCCCATGTAACTGAGCTTTTCAGCTCACATCAGAGTCCTCTCTGCCGAGACATCCATAAAGTGGATCCGATTAAGCCACACAGCTCTGAAGACATTCCTGTTTAGGAAGAGCAAGGCCTCTCCCCGGGTTGGGGGCCCCCTCTTCATGCTCCCAAGTACGTCCTTTCTGCACCCGGCTCTCCGCTGCTGTTCACGCTGTCGGGGGCCCACCTGACGCCATATCAGACCCTGCTTCCCTAAAGGGGGGAAACACGTCTGATTTATTCTCTGCACCCTTGGCAGTGAGCATCACGTCCGGCACAGAACAGACATGTGATAAATACTGAAAGGTTAGGGCTTTTTAATGATGCCACTTTCGAGCATCAGAGACCCGCTCCTGCCAGGACAGGAGTTGGGGGTGGGCGGGGGTCCCTTCCAGAGCTCTCCTCCCAGGAAGGGGCAGCTCAGGAAGGAATGTGGAGGAAGACTTCCCCCCACCCAGCTCAGGCTTCTCCCGGCTCAGGGGAAAGTCAGGAGAACGGCCTATCTGCCGCACAGCTTAAAGGTCTGTCGTTATCCTGGGGAGCTGCGGTCCTTTATCTTGAAGCTTGACTTCTATGAAGAATGAGGCAAACTTTGATTCTGCATCAGGCAGATTACAACCTTAAACACACACACACGCGTACACACACAAACACACACACACACACACACACGCTGCTTATCGAAGCCTTCCCTTCAGATTTCCAAATCTCCAAACCCCGTCTTATGCCTGCTGAGGCCTGGTGGTCTGAGCCTGTGGGCCTGGCTCTCTGGACCCATCCTCCCACCCCCTCCCTCCCCACTCCCCACTTTTGTTCTGGCTGTTCCAGCTCCTTCCATTCCAGCTCATTCTCTCTGCACCCTCTGCTCAGAACAAATAAATCCCCCAGCTGGGGCTTTTCCAGCACGATGTTCCTTCTGCCTGGCATGCTCTTCCTCTAGAACTTTGCATGGCTCCCTCCTTCCCCACAGTCTCCTACTTCCTCAGAGAGAGCCTTTCCAAATCACTCGTCTTCCCCTGTTACTCTCCGTCCCAGCTCTGGTTGCCAGCATCCTCGGTGCTCCTCAGTTAGTACCTGCACCCCTCCAGTCTTGTCTGCATCTTCTTGTGGTGTTCTCCCCACGTATGTCCGTGTGTCTCTTCTCTTCTTATCAGGGTACCAGTCATTGGATTAGAGCCCATCCTGTAATCCAATAGGGCCAAGATACCCTCATCCTAATTTGATTACATCTATAAATTTACCTAGTTCCTAATAAGGTTCATTCACAGGCACTGGAGTTAGGCCTTCAATGTCTCTTTTTGGGGAAGAAATTCAAACCCCAAAGTATTGATTCCATTAGTCACATGGAGCACATGGGAGCCAGTTGAAGAATCAACCAGTCTTCCCATCTGGTCTCGAATGCAGGCCACACAGTGTCTCCTGGGACACAGGCAAAGAAGCCTCCACATGGCATTTTTTTATCAAGATGCTCATCAATTTCAAACACACGGGATTTTGGAAGCAGCTGCAGTAGAGAGTTTCTGAAATCCTTATTAAGTGTTAGGGAAGAGGCTAAGCAGAACGCAGAGCAAACAGGGAGGTGACAGACAGTCGTAAACATTAGTAAGGAAAGGGAACCTCACCAGTGTTTTTAGGAAGCCTAGTATTTTGGGATGGAGATGGGTCCAAAATTTTAATAGAAATGCAAGCAAGTTTAGTCGCAGCAATAAAAATATGTCCCAAGTGCACAAATTTCTGAAAAAGAAACATGAGAAATGACCCCAGAGACCCAGACTCAAATGCTGTTCTCTACACAAAAGCGAGACCAGCTTTGCAGTGATGCCCAAACCACCCAGGTGGCTGTGGACAGATTCTGTGAACAGATATTTGTTGTATGTGATACCAAATCCGCAACTGTCACGTCGCTGTTGGTGGTGGTCCGCAGAACTAAGGGTCTGACCTGGCCTGGCAGGGAGTGCGTGAGAAGTTAGGCTCGTAGCCACGCCCCCTGGGTGGTCCAGGGGCAGCAGGACCATCTCCTCCAGCACACCCAGGAGGCTGTGGGTTGCAGAAATTTCCCCGTTTCCCTGCCCTGCCCGCCTGCCAGAGGAGGGTCCCGTGAACACCACCAAGAGAACGGCTCCATTACCAGGAGATCTGGGGTCTGCTGCAAAGTCAAATTCAGTAGAGGGCATTAAGTCGCTGATTACCAAATGTGAGTGTGCTCCGTTCCTAAGCCAACCACCAGCTTGATCTGGGGCTTGGGAGACATGACCTAGTTCATACAGTGAGAAGACCTTAAGAGAAACACATCTCATTTAACTCAATTATGCACTCTCCAGAAATAAAACACACTTCCACGGGAGGTAACAGGTGCCTAATTTTTGAAAATACACAACCAGCAACCGACTAGAATACTATACCGTGAATTCCTGCCAAATTGTGGGAGACAATCTCTCACACTACCTCCAACTCTGAAAATTGTATAACTTGAGAGATATATTTCAGTCCCAGAAGATTTCAGATGTGCAGGTATTTCAAGTTCATTGCAAGAGAGATCAGCAAAGAATAACATTATAAATGATACAGAAGGAATTTCATCATGCACACAGGACAGAAAATGAGCAGCTGGTACTCTGAAGCAAGTGTCGGAGGAAATCAGGAGTGACTGTTCCACCTTCTGAGGGTGATGGGTCCAAATTGGAGTGGGGCCAATGAGTGATTTCCGAGGGTGGCTATGGAACAGGGTATCAAACGAATCAAGCCACCCTCCATCTAAAAGAGCCTTAAGAAATTGTATTGTCTTCAAGGATTTATATTCTGTAGCACTGGTTTTAATATTGAGGGTGAGGGATAAATTGGGAGTTGAGGATTTGCAAATACAAACTATTGTATATAAAAGAGATAAACAACAAGGCCCCACTGTACAGCACAGGGAACTCTATTCAATTTCTTATAACAACCTACAGTGAAGTGAATATGAAATCATATTCATATGATTATGTAAAAGAATGTATGTATGTATAACTGAATCACTGTGCTGTACACCAGAAACTAACCCAACATTGTAAATCAACTATACTTCAATAAAAAAAAAATTTAATAAAATTAAGGATGAGGGTGCTGGGTGGGGTGGAGAGAGCATATTGGAATTAACTTGGGAGTCTTTCTAAATTCCATTCTTTGTGGGAGGCGAGTGGGGGGGGTGATCAGGCAGGAGCGAATTTGAAAAGAGCCTCATGTGACTCTATTAGTCTTATGTGCTTCAGAATCACTTTACAGGAAAGAGAAAACAAAGAATTTTCCTTCTTTTACATCCATTGGTTCACGAGGTTTCCTCCAAAGCTGGTTTCCCTTTTCTTGTGTCCCGACTTCCCTTCTGCAGGGTAGGCGGTTAGAGAAATTGCTGTAACCATCTACTCAGTCCAACTCTCTGAGCCAAGGATAAAAGGTTCTTTTTTTCCCCCTCAATTTCAAAAACTCTATTAATTGGTGGTGATAAAAATCTTTCTCATCTTGAGAGTCCAAGGGGAAAAAATGCAAAAATATATGATTGCCAAAAATCTGTGGTAAATTCCCTTTTGTTTTGCTGCATAAGTAAGAATCTACCCCAACCAGACCTCCCATGTTTAGAGACCTTCTTCAAACCCCTTGACTTTTTAAAATTGTGAAACATGCTCTGGGTATAACCCCCCAGTGTCCACACCCTCCCACTCTGCGAAGAGACAGGACATCTGCTCCCCAGCTCCCTGGGAAAGTATATTTAACTGTTGGACGCTTTCCTTTTCAAAAGGGTGCTGGCTTTTTTCTTTCTTCTTCTTCTTTTTTTTTTAAGCCTCCAGGGCACAAACAAAATAAAATGACCCCTTCTGTGTTTAAATCCGGTAACAGCGTCTGCATCAATACAAACAGCAGGTCCTCCAGGTCCGCTGAGAATCAAGACTGAGGACCAGGCACTGCTTATCTCAGCATCCTTGAAGCGCATTTACCTCAGGAGACCTCTAGACGCGAGGGTGTGCCGAGAACGGGCCGTGGGTGAGCAAAGGAAGATTATGGCAGGCTCAGCTTGGGTGTCTCAGTCCTGGCACCAGCCATCGGGAAACTGCCTACAAGCATGCCGCGTGTGTGTGCGTGCGTGCGTGTGTGAGAGAGAGAGAGAGAGAAAGAGCGGGGAGACACATTGGGGGAGATGGAAACACACCAAGCACCTGAGTCTTCTTCCTGCAAAAACATAATGACATCTTCCACATCGTGGTATGAGAGACTGAAAAAATGAGAAGCAGGAATCTCACAGGAGTCAATTTTTCAAAAAAAAAAAAAAGTTTAAGCCAGCGTGGGCTCGGTGTCATTCACACTTAGACCCCAACCAAAGACCAATATTACCAGCCTTTATAAGAATTTTGTTCTTGATGTTAGAGTTGTAATTTTCCTTGTGTCATTTTTTAACTCCTGTTTCTCTTAAAAAAAAATAGCAAACAAACTCAAAAACTAGCCAAAAAGAAGTTTGCTTTTCTTTTAGCAAGAGCAGAAGAGGCAGAAAGGAAACATTCCCTGGTTTTGATTCAGTTCAACTCAACAAATATTTTGGAACCACTTCTCGGCTAGAGTCCCTGCCCTCCTGAGGTGGACGTTTATAGGAGAGACAGGCAGTCAGAGACACCGCCGTTCAGTGTTGGGACAGATGGGGGGAGCTTCCCAGAGGAGTGATGTCTGCGTGGGATCCCAGAGCTCTTGGAATTTTCAGGGGAGCCTTTGATGCTGTGTACTCCTGGACCTCTCTCTGGATGTCGGAATCAGAACCTCTAAGAGAGCCGTGCATGTTTAAAGTCTCCCCAGGTGAAGGGGAGGCAGTGGCCTGACCCTAGGGTCTGGGAGGAGGCGGATGAAGGCGTGGAGGCGACAGAGCACATGGGAGGCAGAGCTGAGAGCCGGCTGGGGGTGCCAGGCCCTTAGGGAGCAGCGTGGGTGTAGTTGGCTGATCAAACTGGAGAACAGAAGGGACCAGATCGGGAAAGGCTTGGTGTGTGCTACCGGGGGTGGGGTTGGACTTCACCCCACGACCATCCAGCTGGATGACTGTGAGGACAAGAGCAGGGGGACCTGGGGCTGGGTCCGGGTATCAGGAGTCATTCCAGAAGCACGCCCTTCCCAGGGGCTGGAAGCAGCCAAGAACCGGTTCCTCTGCCCTCATTACATTTCTTACCCCCGACTCCGTCCCGTTCGGTCTACAACCCACATGACCCACCGTCAGGGAGACAAGACCAGGTGGAAACACACACGTTTATGGTCAGCTGGTACCCCTGCACAGACAGACGTGTACACGGCTTCGCCAAAGGAGGAAGGCTGCGGCCCCCAGTCCTCCCACCACGCCCCTCCCGGCTGCCCCTGCGACTTCTTCCTCTCCCCAAGGCTACTGTAGACGCTCATCTAACTGGTCTCACTTGTAAATGAATATCACGGGGTGTCTGAGTCTCTCCCTCTGACGCTGGTGCTTGGCCCTGAAAGGTGCCGTCGGATGATACACACACTGTCCTCCGGTCAGACGACCATGTCCTCAGGGTGCAGATCTCCCACCCCACCCCCAGCTTCCATACAGAGTCGTGATATCCTAAGAAGCTGAGTGGACCCACAGAGAGGAACGGTTCTATCACAGAGGAAAGGTCACGTCTCCATCCTCCTGTGACAGCCGGCCTCACCTGTCCCGGCAGGTGCATCAGCGCGCGCTCAACCCCCAACCCTGGAGTCAGGAACCGACGTCAGTGGGAAGATTTAATAGAAACATTCAGTGGTAACAGGTCAAGAGGTGGGTCTGTGCAAACCGCAGATTCCTCCCCGAGCCCGTGCGTAAGTGGCGGGCTGTACCGTAAGAAGTGAGGATTCCCCCCGCAGAGGAAGTGAGAGGTAAGTGAGGAGAACACCACTCTCAGTAGCAGAGGTTTTCATCCTTACCAAGAACCACACAGAAAATAAACTGTATGGGCAGGACTTAAAGGCGGCCTCCTCCACCCAGCGGCTCTGGGAACAGCGCCGTGTGGGAAGCACCAGCCCGTGTGCAGAACCTCAGCTCAGCACAACCGCACACGCTTCCCCACCAGCCTCCTCCGCGAGGCTTCCCGTGGCTCTGTTCCGAGGCTCCCCACTTTAAGCCCCCATCTGTGGCTGCGGGGAGATTTGGGGGCCATGATGAAGAAGAACTGACCCCAAACTTTGTTTTCCACTCTGAGCTCAACCCAAACAAACGATTTGAACCCCCAAACAAAAGAAAGTCCAGAAATCTCCGTCTCTGCTTCTCAGAAATTGTTTCTCTTAAAGCTGTATCAGTATGTGGGGAAGAGAAGTCAGAGGCTGAAATCGTCTGATAAAAGTCACAATTAAGAGCCAGAAATTAATTTTGGTGAGAGAAGGCTTTAACACAACAACTGATTTTATGGAAAAGGGAGAAGTGTCTTTTTTTTTATTTTGTTTAAAAAATAATTGTTTATTGAAGTGTAGCTGATTTACAATGTTGTGTTGGTTTTGTTTAAAAATAATTGTTTATTGAAGTGTAGCTGATTTACAATGTTGTGTTGGTTTCAGGTTTACAGCATTGTGATTTATACATACATATTCTTTTTCATTATAGACTACTACAAAAAATTGTAAATAATTCCCTGTGCCATCTGGTAGATCCATGTTGCCTGTCTATTTTATATATAGTAATTTTGTTATCTGTTAATCCCAGACTCTTAATTTATCTCTTCCTCAATCCCTTTCCCCTTTGGTCACCATAGTTTGTTTTCGATATCTGTGAGTCTGTCTCTGTTTTGTAATAAGTTCATTTGTATCATTTTTTAAGATTCCACATATAAGTGATATCATATGATATTTGTCTTTCTCCTACTGATTTACTTCACTTAATATGATAATCTCTAGGTCCACCCATGTTGCTGCAAATGGCATGATTTCATTCTTTTTATGGCTGAGTAGTATTCCGTTGTATAAATATACCACATCTTCTTTATCCAGTCATCTGTCAATGGACACTTAGGTTGCTTCCATGTCGTGGCTGTTGTAAATAGTGCTGCTGTGAACATTGGGGTGTATGTTTCTTTTCAAATTGGAGTTCGTCCAGATACATGCTGAGGAGTAGGATTGCTGGATCATATGGTGACTCTATTTTTATTTTTAATTTGTTAGTTTGTTTTTAGTTTTAGCTTTGGAAGTGTCTTTGCTTGAGATTCTTATTTTGGAAAGAAAGAAAAAAAAGCCCCTTAAATTGTAAATTAAGTTACTATTCTAGCCTATGGTTTAATTTGTTGAATGAAGCCAAGATCCCAGATTAAAAGAAAAGCTATTTAAAATACAAATGTAAAAGATGAGCTCAGAGCTGAACTCTCTAAAAAAAGACAAAAACTTTCACAACAAAAGCATCCCAGTTTAGAGCTATTCTTCCCAGGAGAGGGAAAGAAGAATGAAGCAATAAACAGAACAGAGAGAAACGGGAGGAGGAAGTCAGAGCGTTCTGTTTTCCACTGGCAGGTAGCTGATCTGGGTCTCACGCTTCAGTTGAACCCACTTATCTGGTTTCAGTTGAAATAAGAACATGCTTATTCTGAATGTTTAAGTGAGATAGAATAATAATTCTTTCCTTGGGTGTTTGACATAGTCTAAAGCTAGTGACTAGGGATTCAGGAACGTCTGTCTCAATCATCCACCCATGGTTTGCCTTAGACTGTGGTCTCGAGGGGGACCGATAGCTCTGGTCACACACACTGATGCCCCCGGGGTAAGGAGGTGAGAACACAGAAATATTAACATGCCGTCTGAGAAACAACCCGGAAGCCAGCAGCTGACACTGTTTAGTCTCATTGACTTACCGGGACTGCAGAGTTTGAAAAGTAAACTATGCACGTGGGTAAGGGCTTGCGGGAGGAAAATGCTGGCCGGTGTCACAAGCAGACGGCTGGTGGCGATGTCTACTATCCCAGCTGCCACGCGTTTGTGGCTGAGAAGTGCGGAGGACTCATGGGCACCTGCAGTTCAGCTTTCCCGAGTCTGGTGCCAAACCCAAGCAGGGCATGAAAACCGATTTTTATAGCTTCAAAGGTACCGGCAGTATATAAAGTTTTATAATCTGATTTCTACAGCATGGTCCTCGCTATGTAAACGCTCATCCTGCTGAGAGTGCAGAAGGGAAGACAGCGAATGAGAGGGCCGGTCTAGACCTACTCAGGGCCCAGGGTGAAGACGTTTGTACCGGTAATTACTTAGGCCCTAAGCCTGGAAAATTCAGTATCGAAACCGTGGCTGGTTCTAAGGGGATAACTCAGGGCGCTAGGGAGGTGGACGCAGGGATTGCCTGGCCTCCAACACTTCCGTGCTGTGGGACCTCGGGACGTTTTCCTGTGAAATCAAAGGATGGACAGATTTGTGTCAGCCATCCCTTCCCTTACAGCAAACAGTCTGCAACATCAAGGCTGGGCTCTAAAAGCAGATTAAGTAAACGCAACTGAAATAAAAATGTCATCTTCACTAGCGACCACCCCCAAAAGGATGGATCTGCTGCCGTAAATAAATAAATGAGGTCTTCATTCCGACTCTGTACTTGAGGCCCACTCAGCATGAGCACAGTGCTTTTTTCATTTATTTTATCCATAATTATTCAACATCAACCAGAGGGGCATTGAATGATTCCTACCACAATTTCATAGTCCTGACTTCAAAGAAGTCATGTTACTTTCTGAGATTCACCCAACAATGTGAATGACAAAATCACAGAACTGCCTATTTCTAGCTCACTGCTTGGCAGGGGCCCCCACTGGGTGACCCTGTGGCAGGGATGAGCCCTTTCCTGTGGACCCTGGGGCCCTAGCTTCACCCTCCCCCAGCCCAGTGGCATTAGACTGACTTCCAGCAAGGCCTCCTTTGGACTTGGACGTCTGCCCCCTTTAACACCAGATGCCCATCATTTCTGTTCTGAAGTTCTTTAACTTTGGCCATGAAACGTTTTCACTGCGATCGTGAGAACCATGCTCTTGTGAAACACTGATATGCCAAAGAACACAACTGCAAGCCACCCAAGCATCGCAGAGGCGGCCTGCCAGCAGGCTCCCACGGCGGCTCACACAGCAGCGCGTCAGATGGGCTGCTTCTACGAAATCAATATCCGTACATAATTTACACAGGAAGATGTACTACGAAGTTTGTCATGAATAACAGGGATTACTCCCTTCCCCTCGCCTCTTTCCTCCGGCTGAGTCCTTCCTATTGCCCAGGGGCAACAGCTTCAGCTTTGTAGATGATTCTTCCATACTTGCTTCCGTTTCTCTAAATACTACGATTAAATTCAGACCTGATGTATCAATTCCCTATAAAAATGGGGGGGTATTAACTCTCTTATACCAAGAAACACACAGACACACACAGACACACGAGTCTCTTTCAGCTCCCCGCCACCCTCCCGTGGTGTTACATAACAGCTTTGTCTCCATGTACAATTATTATTCCCAGCTGAACTGTACAGTACGCTGTGACACGTCTTTCTCCATGTAATTGCTTTCCAGTTAATAACAGCCTTAGTTTGGTTTTTGTGTTTGGTTTTCACTAAATCGTTCTTTAATAGAGATGGGACCCCCTAATACGGCCACAGACATCAAGAATACTAACCCTTCTAAAAATTATACAAATGAACATATTTACAAATGAGAAAGAGAGTCACAAACATAGAAAACAAACTTATGGTTACCAAAGGGGAAAGCAAGGGGAGGGATAAATTCAGAGTTTGGGATTAACAGATGCACAACACTGTATATAAAATAGATAAGCAACAAGGACCTTCTGTACAGCACAGGGAACTATATTCACTATCTTTCAATAACATATAGTGGAAAAGAGTCTGAAAAAGAACAGATATATATGTGTATACGTGTGTAACTGAATCGCATGCTGTTCACCTGAAACTAACACAACATTGTAAGTCAACTATACTTCAATTTTTAAAAATTAAATTTTGAAAAAGAATATTAACTCTTTTTGGATTCATGTCTCCTGGAACCTTCTGTCTCCTGCTCTGATCTGATCTGGGTTCACTGTGCGCAGCTGCAGTTTTATACCTTCTCTTGACCATCAATCTGGGAGCTTCATTTTTTCCCTCTTGTGCACCTGATGCACAGTTTCCTGATTCCGTTTCTCTTTACTCCTTTGTCTTACTAGAACTATCTTCAGGTAACTTCCACAGAAAAGAAACAGGGAAGGTCATTGTTTTGAGACGTTAATCTGTCTTTAAAAATCCTCACTGTCACTTGCTAGTTTGACTTGGTCAAGAATTTCAGGTCAGATAACATTTCCTTTGCCATTTTAAAGGCATTGCAATATTGTTTTTCCAGCTTCCACTGTTTTTACAAAGAAGTCCGGTGCAGTTCTAAAACTCAATCCCAGAGATTTCAGGTAAGTCTCTCTCCAGTTCCCTCTCTGCTTTTCATCCCTCGGAAATTTCACTGATGCTTCTCGCCCACTTCATGCCCCCCCTCAGTCTGTCTGTCCTTTGGTCTTCAACCTTTTAAAATTATTTACTGTCAGCTTTGAAGCACTTGTCAGGGAATACAACCAACCATGCATGCTCAGCCCACCTCAGCACTGAATAATGGTCAATATTTTACTATTTTTATCATTACTAATGCATAATAACATTATTAGTTAACATTACAAACTACTACTATATACAAAATAGATAAACAACTAGGTTCTACTGTAGAGCACAGGGAACTCTATCCAATAGCTTGTAATAACCTATAATGAAAAAGAACCTGGAAAGGAATTTATATACATGCATAACTGAATCACTATGCTGTGCACCTGAAACCGACACAATATTATAAACCAACTATACTTCAATAAAAAAAATTGCTATTAAATAACCATTGCACATGTCCTCTGGCCACTGTGTTTAAAAAATAAGTGTTGTTGGTGAAAAGTCAGAACTTGGAATATTTTGTGTGTCTCACCCTGGCTCTGAACAGCCCAGTGGTAGAAAATTCTTTCTCTTCCCTCCCAGCTAAAGTGCACCTTTTCAGTGGCTTTCCCAAAACTTTCTGGGTTCCTTTCCTCCAGTCCCTGACTACATTTTGACCTCCCAGTGACCCTCTGCCCCAGGCAAGTCTCTCTCACAAACCCATCTTAGAATTTCCAACTTTCTTCACTTCTTACTGGTTCCAATTGCCCTGGTCAGCTTTCTCCTTGTCGGGTCATCAGCAGGTCTCAGTAATTCGGCTCACTGACCCTGCGAGGCATGACTGACCTTCCGACGGAGTCCCTTAATTGTAGCATGTGGTCCTGAGCTCCTCAGGGAGCAGGCTCCGTGCGGGGAGAAATAACAAAGGAGACAAGAACAAACAATGGCTTCTCAGAACATTGCCAACAATTCCACACACAAGCAGTTGAGGAAGAATTCGTGGACCCAAACCCGAGGAATGAGAGCCCAGAAGCTTCTCTGACCTGGGGACGTGGGGGAAGCGGGCAGCTTGGCC